GATATAAATAAAAATGAAAATGTAAGTTGAAGGGTAAAAATTGTAAATTTAGAAAATCAGATTTTTTTAAATGAATGGGTCCCACACAAACTAACCTATTTCTACCAATAAAATCAAAACTAACCTATTTCTACAAACCTTTTTCAAAATCAACCCATTTTTGCAAAAAACTCTTTACATAACACCCTAAATTATGAACTAAATGAACATATTTAAACATAGAAGTAAACCTTTAAGTTGTAATTTATTTTTATCTTAATTACGCTCTAATGCGATGTGGCTATATATCAATAGAACAAACCCCTCTGACCGTTGCGAATATTATATATGGCAACAACGAAATCCAAACTTTATACTAGAAACTATAAATTGTTACCTTTTATTCAAGATGAAGTTGTCCTCATGAAGATTCTCTATATATTGTACATCGAGAGAGCTTTTAAATGTTAATTGTATTTGTCTAAACATTTTTAATTATAGTTTTAAGGGTTTATTTGTTTAGAACTTAATGATATATATGAGATGTTTATTGATCGCTCATCTATATATATGGTTTTTTGTTTACAACTTAATAATTAAGTCATAAGCGAAGTTGGCTTAATTGGGACAACCTATCTTAGCCATTAGTAATCAACGCATTTCTTCATGTGTGTGGGTGGATACGATTGAAGTTTTAAGAAGAAAAGAATAGATTTAACATGCTCTTTTCTTTTTATTAGTAAATTACATTTCTGGTCAATGTGGTTGACACTTGGTATCAACTCTATCCTTGTTTTAAACTAATTATAGTTTTAGTCATTGTGATTGTCATTTTGTTTCAGATTTGGTCCCTTTAGTATTTTGATCTTTTTCATTTTTCTTTTATTTTAATTAAAAAAAAGAATATGTATAATATATATATATATATATATATACACACACACACACAATTCTAATTTGTATACGACACTTCCATCTTAGATAGTGTTTCCCCAGGCACTTCCTCCGGCCAGCACTTCCAGCCACCACCTACACATCTTCCTGTGGCTAAATCAGTTGGTCACCACCCCTTCCCCTCTCCCGTAGTGACCTACCTCCATGGACCCTCCTCTAGAACCTTTTCTTCGGCCAACACCATTCCCATCCTCATTCCAAGACCGACACCCCTTATCTGAGCCACCTACGATTGCTCCATCTTCTCCCAGATGTCTAGGTTTCACTCATCTGAAACCTACCATTGGCGCCTAAACGTTGAATCTGGAGTTCTTGATTCCTCAACCATATTCTTCACACATATACATACCTGCACTCATAACATGCATACTCACACTCTCAACACAAATACACACACATTCTTTCTTTCTTTCTCACTATCTATCTATCTATTCGTGTTAATGGTGGCTTCAAATTCATAAAAATAGTTTTGATTAACAAGAGATTGTTGAGGATGGTAGGGACGAGACTGAGCTCCCTTTTCACTTCCTCAAATGGCTCAAACCGAACCACTATGATTCATCCCCCTCCTTTGTGTTTGTCTTTTGTTTCGTCACTGTGATGGTTCATCCCCCTCCCAAGCATTTGTTTCAGATTTTGTCTCTATGATGGTTTTGATTTTGATTTTGGAATTCTGGTTTGATTTAGGATTTGAATTAGTTTTTGTTTTTCCGATTTGAAATAGGGTTTTGATTTAGTTGGTGGTTTATAATGCATATGTTGGGTTTATATTTTGTTGTATTACAGTAGAGGGGCTGTAAATACCTTATGATATAAATAGTTTTATGTTATTTGTAAGTTTTTACAGTTGATTAAAAACAGTTAGTACGTATTCTCATTTCATCTCACTGTATTGTAATTTCTCTCAATCAAATACAAGCCGAATTCTCAAAATCTTGATTTGCAATTGTTAATCATTGTTCTATTGTTAAATCTGGGAATAACAATGTAAACTTTATGTTTTCTTCGAATGTTTAGACCATTTGTGTATTTAATTTTATAAAATAAATGGTTTTAATATTGCCAAGCTTCCCATGGGTTCAAAGTTTGAAAAATGAGAAACAAACGTGCGAATAGGGCCTCCCACGACCTAGGTCATCACCAAGGTTGCATAAGCCATTGTCTCTCATGCAACAGGTGTAGTGCATGACTTGAGGTCGCGAGCAGGGTCTTATAGCACGGTCTGACAACTTTTGATCCCGTTTTTTTTTTTTCTTTTTTTTCTCATTTTCTCACCACTTCTTTTCCTTTCTTCTTTTTTCTCTCTCCCTTCTAGATGATTTTGGAAGTTCTTAAGGGTCATCTTCAAGGGGTTTGGTGGCAATTTATCTAGGAAACATTTATTGGGTCAAGATTCAAGCACTTTTTCAAGATCTAGCCTTCTCCACTTAATTCTCTTGATTGGTTTGTAGGATTTTCACCAAAACCTAGTTTGTAAATTCATTTTACCTTTATCCTCCTCTTTTTATATATATATATATATATATATATATGTGTGTGTGTGTATATGATGAAACTTGACATTCTTACACACTTATAAACTTATTGCATGATTGTTGGAAAAACTTTATACAACTATGATGATTTTGGGGATTTTGACCTAAAATGGTAATTAAATAGAACATTGACTGGGTAAACTTTGGTTTTATTGGTTTTGTTTCATTATATTAAAGGGGTTTTCATAGCTTGAGCATATTGACTTCGATTATAAACTATTTCACTCATTTTATCACATAAGTAGATTGACATAAATGAAGGGTCACATTACACTTGGGTGTTCTAAATACATTAGTATAACTCATACCTTACCTTGTGATACTTACAAGTAACTTGTATATAAATGTGAGAGAATAAGGTTATTGTGGATAACTATGAAATGCATTTGTTCATAATTTAGGGATTTATGCACTTTCCTTATATGGTTAAATTTCCAAGCTTGGTATTGTGGTGCTATAGTCCTTATACATGAGGGTTGTCGATTTTGTGCTATCAAACATGACGTATTGGTTCATATTTCGAATACTAGTTATGGACACTAAAGGCCGAATGGGAGCCTTGAGGTGAGACTTAGCTAGCTAATGGGTAGGCACTAAGATTCATTGATCCTTGATGTTAAACTCTTGTAAGTAGACACTAAAGGTAATTGAAGACTTGGGGTGACGCCATAATGAATATGCACTAAAATCGTAAAATCTGAAGTGTAATCCCGATGAATATTGATTTATGGTTGCAATACTTTTGTGTCCCTGTCATATTTGGAAACCAATCTCGCTCATCATTGAAAGATGTTATGTGTATTAAATCTGTCAGGTTTGACCATTTTGGAAAATTATGTCGCTTTCATGCACATGTTTAGTGAAGACCAAATAGACCAAAAGTATAATTTACTTTTTTTTTAATGATCATTTACAATAACATTCTTAGGCATAATATATTTTTCATAGATTATAGTACTCATAATGGTTATTGATAATATCAGTTATATTTATTTTAATTTGATTACATTTATATTTTTTTAACATTCCTTTGAATTTCGGATTATATAATTTCTGTAAAAAAAACGTTTATAATTTAATTTTCATATTCAACAATGAATTCATAATTAAGTTAGTAATTAGTTTAAATCATTAGATCAAATAATTTTTATACAAATCATTCATAAATTGATTTTTTTTATTTATAATTTGAAGTTTTTAGTAAATAAATGTTTTTACATTCAACACTTAATTCTGACAAAAAAATAAAATAAAATAAAATAAAATGATAACTTCTATCATCTAGTATACATGCTATAAATGAAAAATAAACAAAGAAAGAGCGTAAATCTCTAGCCCTCTAGTAAGTAGTAAGCATTCCACTATGTTGATAATCCAATTAGTGCATAGGATACCCACTCCCCCATGAATAAAATAATACTAAAATTCTATTTATTAGTGTGTGAGTCACTCTCATACTTTCTTCATATAGTAAGGTGATATATATATATAGATAAAGAAACAGAAAAACCAACCCAAAATTTAGGTTTAGGTATTCTAGTTTTGGTTCAGATGAGTGGAAGGAGGAGCTCCGGCCGAGGACAAAGCTCTTTAGGCTACTTGTTTGGTGATTCCGATGAATTAGGGCCACAAGGTCATGATGGATCCAGAGTGTCGTCCTTACCACCGGTTTGTCACTCTGGCGGAGGTCAAAGTTCTTTAGGCTACTTGTTTGGTTCCGGTGAATTACGGCAACAAAGTAACCAGGACTCTAAAGTATCCTCACCGCAGGTTTGTGTGCCACCCTATGGCACCGACGACATGGAGGAGAACTCGCCGGAGAAATCTCTAGCTCCTTCATCTAAGAAAGATGATCAAAAACCATCGCCCAACAGTTATATCTACCATAAAGTTGACAGCCCAAATTCAAGGGATTTCCTCATGACTGTAAGTCTTCCAGGTTCCAACATCAAGATCAGGTTCAAAAACGATCTTTTATTACATCAAATATTGAAAAATTTCATGATTTTCAGGCTCGTCCATCAACAAGGGTTACATCGGTTCCTGGTGGAGATTCATCGGTTGGATACCTGTTTGGAGATAAATGATCATCTATCGAACGAAGATCTTCCCTGCGCCTGTGAGTTGATTAAGACTTAATTTGGGTGTATAAGCAAAAAGAACACAAATATAAGCCTCCACCGTTTGTGTCGAATAACATGGGACCAAGTACCTAAGATTTACTTGATGTGTTTTTCTCATTTATATATATCCATGTATGATTGTGTTCTTTGTTTAGGGTTTTCAAGTGTGTGTATTGGATTCTTGAAATTGCATTTTGAATTGTGTGGACCGATTAATTCTTGAAATTTACCAATATATATAATAATGATTGGTTGCTATTGCTAGCCTTGATCATGAGTACCTATGTTTGATTTTCTTGTTAATTTGATGAAAAATATAACACCGGAAAGATGTAACTAAAGTTTGTAGAAAGAGAAATTAGCAATATAAATAACTGTGAATTTGTTAAAAGGTTCAAAATGTTGATTACTTTTCATCTTTTGTATATCCTTCCCTAAAAGATTAAATGATATTGTGCATATATAATTCAATCAATAAAGTAAGATCTCAGTTAAAATGGACAACTATCTTTGTTTCACGGCTTTCGCCTAGCAAGTGGGTAAGGAAGCAGAATGAGCACTTGATATTAATGCATAACTTTGAGGTTACAAAATGGTATAATTAGCTACACTTATATAGAAGGGTTTGCATGCTATATATATATATATATATATATATATATATATATATATATAGAATTTAGCCTTGTGAAACATAATATAGATGAGAAGCTATCATTAATTCATACCATAAAATCATATTACCATTTAACTTTTCAGTATGTGTATCCTTATACAGCTGGACTGTGACGGATCCAGCTGATAGAATTACTACTTCATGTGTATAGTACTAACAATTGTAAGAATCGCTGCTAACAAAGTGTATATGTATATATATATATATATATATATACACACACACACACACACATTGAGTTTCTCATACAAAAAGAAAAGAGTTGGGATATATATAAAAGATATTAATTGCAGGATGTGCCCTAATGAATTGACCCTTACTAATAACACTACTTACTTGTGGGTAGATTACAAGTGCTGGATGAAGCCATAAATTGATTATTGATCTGAATCACAATTCTTTTGTATAAGCTTTTAGTGTCGATGGATTGATAAGAAGTAGGATCCATGTTCTTGAGTTCTCTCTAGAGAAGTTAGGAGAGGTTATTAGTTAGGGTTAGAGTGCATAAGAGAATATACTTAAAGGAATTTATATTCTGTATATATCGTCATTGAAGATGTAGGTAGCACCGTAGCAATAGAGAGACCTTGTTTTTAAGGTTTGAAACAATTTACATGAGCATCGATTCATATTGAGAAGAGTAGATACGACTCATAATTAGTCGGTTGTATCAGCTGTGATAATACATGTGAGAGGACCTTATAATGTGCAGGCGACTTGACCTGCGACTTAGGTTGCACTTGAGGTACGCAGCCCATGAGTCTGATTTAGTATCAAGTGTGTATCACATGTGATTGACTATTTAAAAAGGTGTTTTCATGAAATAGAAGTGTCCTCGTTTTTTACCGTTCAAATAGAGATATGGGGTTCTAACAAACAGATCCTCCTATACCATTGCCTAACAAACCTACAAAAGAAGAATCAATTATGTACTACATAGAAAGGGCTAATGTAACAGCCTATGTACAACACAGAGTATTTAATTAGGGCAACATATCAAATTTCCAAGGTAATAGATTGTGTTATGCCAAACCGCACAAATATTATGTATACATAAGTTATGAAATAATGGTTTATCTCTAGATGCATGTAGTAATTTCATAATACTTGCTGAAATTAATATAGGATTTTAAGAAATTAAAATGCAATTGTATAAATACAAACTCTTCGGATGTAATAGTTAATATATTTCGCCTCTGGCATATAACTCAGTAGGTAACAAGGCGAGATGCTTTTGTCCATCCAATACAATACAGGTCCCGGTTCAATCGCAAAAAAGAAAAAATAGCCTCGATCTTGAATGAGGTAGAAAAATATCCTTTCACATTGGTGTCTTTAGAGTTGGTTCTGTGTATTGTTGGATGGAATTACCATTATTAAATGCCCTCCAAATATGTAATATAAATCATAGACAGAAAGTTAAGTGAGAGTTACATTTGCATGTTTATATGGGCCTCACAACAAATGAGTTTCATGGGCTAAAGTTCTAACACAAAAAGACAAGGCCCAGTTTATTAAGTCTGTTAACATGTCCTTTGAATCGAAATCTTTGTAATAAATTAGAATCGAAATGTTCTAACACAATCGAAATCTTAATTAGAGATGATCACCCGAGTTAGGTCGGTTCGTGTACAAATTTCGATCCCTGTCCCAAACACTATTTTAGTAACCGGTTATGAGAACTAGCTGTCCTATGTAGTTATTAAAAAAAAATTCAATTTTTTTATATATATATTTTTAATTTTTTTAAACAACACAAAAGTGTTATTTTAATACACTTAAAAATATGTAATTTCGTCAATTAAGTACACTTGAAAAATATGTTTTTTGCGAGAATGGGAGTTGAAATCACGAACTATAGTAAGAATTGTGAACGTTTGTGAGTTAGTATCTTCCTCATACATCATATGACTTGTATATAATGTATGAGACAAAAAAGGTCATATGTCTATTGGATATTGGTAATAAAATGGTAATATTTTTGAAAAATTGGGCCAATCCCCTACTGGGCCAAGCTTTTTTTTTTTTAAAAAAATTGTAACCGTCCCTGTATTGCCGATCCCAAGCCAGGCCGAACACAAATCGGTCCCAATCCTTCGTCGCTCTCAGACCGGGTCCATTTAACCATCTCTAATCATAACACCAACATGGAATCCATTATAAAATCATGAAATGACTCACATATATTAACCAAATATAGGAAAATACTTAATAGTTTATTTTCTAATAATTCTTTAAATTGTAGAATGTGGCATGTTTTTTACTACACCAACATCAATGAATAAAAAATAATTCATAATTAAGCCTAAAAACTTTCTAAAATCATAAGTTCTAAATTTTTAGCTCCATCGTCCATGTCATGATATGCTTAGAGAATCCATCATTTTTTACTATTAAAGTATTTGTATCTTCTACCGAATCTTTTTCTAAAAGTAAAAGAATTTAGAATTTTATTATATTTGTTGTCAAAACAAAATAAACAAAAATCATTACGTTTTGATATAATTAGTCAAACCATTAAATAACAAAATCATGATGTTGTGACATTTGTCATTGGAGATAAACATGAAGTTCATAATCTTGTAATATGTTATGTCATGATATGACTACACATGAAAAATGAAACGAATCACAACCAAATGTTGATAACGAAATCCCTGTTTGATGGATTGGTTAAAACTATGTTCTATTTTCATTACGTAACGTAACCAACATGACAACGAATATAGGTATATATGTCTTCAAGACAAATTCTTGCAACACTTGCAATGCAAGTTTTCCAATGATGATGCATGTCATCAAAACTCCTTTAAGAAAAAAAAGAAAAACTTTATGTCGCTATATAAATTTTATTAATTGACATTTCATACAACTGTAAATGTAATCACGTTATATATTTATTTCTTACCAATTTCTATAATGAAATTGAAATGTTAGTTACATAGGAAGGTACAAATGTCCATCAAATTTATATCCTTCCAAAACTTAATCCCCAATTTAATCAATTTTATCTTAATCATGGATAAATATATTCACATGTATAAAATAGTGGTTCCTTTGTAACTAAAAGGATGCGCATGCATGCATATATGCATACATATATTACAGTGATGGATTTGGAAATTTTTATGATTGATAGCATATTTAGGGATGTCAAAAAATTGTGAAACTCGATAACTCATTGAATCAGAACCAAAACGGTTTTGGGTTATTCGATTTTCAGTTTAATGGTTTAGTTTTTTTGAGTTTGATTTATGGTTGTTTTTTTTTTTTACTATTTCAGTTAAATAGAGCATGTTATACTACTATTCATATGTTATACTAATTCAATTAAACTGAAAGAAGTTAGAATAATACAAAAATTGATTAATTCATAATGAACCAGGAGGCTAGAGGAATAAATCACTAAACCAATTTTGTAATAAAGCATGCTGCCACTTGACGTTAAACCAGTTAGATGGACTAGGAGGCTAGAGAAACAACTCACTAAACCAATTTTGTAATAAAGCATGCAGCCACTTGACATGAAACGAGTTAGATGGACCAAGAGGCTAGAGGAACAAATCACTAAACCAATTTTGTAATAAAGCATGCTGCCACTTGAAATCAAACCAATTTCTAACAAAACTAGATGAAAGATAAATCATAATGTTTAATAGTTAGAAACATATAAATTAATAGTCAATAAAAAATCAGAGGCTAAAAATTTGGATTCAATTAGAAAGAAATCAAATAAAAAAGGGATATATGTATGAAATAACAACTTACTTTTTATACGTTTTCTTATTATGACATTGTAATTTTATTTTTTCTTATTACAACAATGTATTTTCAAATTACTTTTTGTTAGAACATTGTGCTTCGAAAAATCTACCTATTATAACAATGAGTAACTTGTTATCTTTTAAACCAGTTAAACTCTTCTTTTTTTGCTCACTTAGCTTAAATGAGATAATGTGGATGACACACTTATCATTTTGATAATATAACTAAAATAAAGAAAAATATATTTCAAATTATTTTTAATTATTTTCACTTTTTCTTGCGACGATTAAAAAAACGTTTCCTATATTTTTTTTAACTTTTTCTTATTAAATTTCATCCAAATTAAGTACTTTAGAGTAAAGTATTTCTTAAATAAAAATATAATATATTATTTCAAGATAATTATTTTATTTGTAATAAAAAGGTAACATTTATTATTCTATTTTGTTCAAAAAAAACACATATCTATTAACGTTTTATTTTTAAATGTTAGCAAGATAAATTGTGCTTTACAAGTTTTCATAATATTTTATGTTAATGAGTAACTAAAAAAATCTAATTAATTTAATATATTTATATGTCAAATAAATTTTTTTAAACAAGTATGATTTTTTTTAAAAGATAAATATTTTTTTGGGAGAAAACGTAACAATTCTTATTTTCTTTTTTTCAAAAAGTACTTTTTTAAAATGTTTGTGTGATAAGTTATGTTTTACTAATCTATACTATATTATAAAGCATTTGGCTAAAACTCTTAAACTCTTAAAAACTCTTAAACCCGTTCATCCCTATCCGATTTCATCCCATATCTGAATTC